CTCCCGGACTTTGTCTATGGAGGTACGCAGGGCTGTGGTGGGGACATCCATCAACCGAACGCGTCCTCGTACACACTGCACTGTACGCAGGGCTACTGTTTATGATGTTACAGGTCAGGCGGTTGGCAAGGGTCGGCGCATTGACATAAATGAGCGTTGTAAGCAGCTGGAAGTCCCAGGAAGACTAATTGGAGTTATTTATGGACGACAGCTAAAATATTACTCATTTTAATTTGCTTATTTTATGAAATGCCTAATGTTTTTCGCAGCCCTCCTTAGACCACTTTCCCGGAAGTAGTGAGACTGGGATGCAGAAATGCAATGTACGCCTGCTCTGTAATGGCGGAAAATATGTCAGTGTGTTAATATTCTATAGAAGGAAATCGGTTAGCCTGACAGGTAGACGTGAGTGGCGCCGACGAACAAAATAACCGACAGCGAAACCAAGCGAGCTACAGAACTGCAGCTACCACGCCAGCCGAACGGCATCTGATCCTACTGTGTGTTGGGTTTGGAGCACCGCGGAGGGCGCAATACACGCGCCCCTATCAGGCTAGACGTCCGAGTCGGTTGGCACACACAGAAGCGCAATATCACACGTGCAATTTTACGTCACACCTCGAAAAGGTATGAGCGCGCATGCAATACGCCGCATCTCCGACTTCCGGGAAAGTTGTCTATTACTAGTAAATCGTGAACAACTCGTAAATCCGACGTTGCTGGCAATATATGCTTGTGCCACCATTGATCCGACGTACAAAAAAAGCTGAATGTTGGAAAGGTCCTTACTACATTCAGCATTGCATAAAGTTTAAAGGGCGGCAGTCGTCGTGCCGCGTTCTGTTCGATATGGGACTCATGGCAACGTATACAACGCCTGTAAAATACATTGTTTATTTACATAAAATTCGAACACGCGCTGCGCGACGACCACCGCGCTTTAATTGATGAAAATAACACTTCAAAATGACCAATAATATCGCTGTTCGGGCCTCATAAACGTGTCATGGGACAACATCCCTCCCGTATAAAATGTATTGTTGGGGGAAATTATAAGCACAATTGCATTGGAAAACATCGCATAAATCTCTTATTAATTCTTTCATATGTGTTCACGTGACTTTGAACTCAAACACACACTCCGTGATCACACTTGCATCCCAGGGTAAGGTCAGGTGTACTCGGAGACGGACTGACAGGGTTGCGACGTCAGAGGTGCAATGAACCACAGTGACTCTTGATATGTGAAAACTGTTTAATACGATTACAATACAGTCATATTATATCATTACAATAACAGTATAAAATACCTTAGTTTGTTAAGGCCAAGAGTTGTTGATTTCCACCCCTCACTTTCAATTATTCAATCTGCGTGACGAAAACAAAACAGATGCGTACAGTGGGGTACAGTGTAGATTGAATAGAGCTTTTTTTTCAAGTATGTGATAATTTGCAGTTGTTAAGCGCTAGGTGCGAATGCGTTTGTTATTTAGTTTCGCATGAATACTAATTAATTTGTTTTTGTCTCCACTCATTAATTCCAGAACAGTTTCATGAGAATTGAATTGTAAACGTCAACCGTGATTATAATTTCTCACCCCTTTCACTGTAATGGTTTCGGTCGCTATTTGAACTCTGACCTGCAGGTTGTTCGAGACAGTCGTATTCTTCCGACGTAAAAACTGTCGGGACGCCATTTCTTCGACATTCACATCATTGAATCGGAACTGTTTCCAGGAAAACCGCTCTTGGACTCTAGGGTTTTCTGCATGTAAGCAATTGGACACGTCTCTGGACTCGAATGGAGGTTTTTTAGGATTATTTTTGCTGCGGATGTGTCCATGTTTGTATGTTACCCGTCCACTGGAGCCATGTGCCTCGGAGCAGAAATATATCTGGCCTAACAATCGTAAACAGACGAGACCAGTATAAATTGTTTTTTCCCCACCAATTCACTTCATAAACTACCGTTGTGTGGACTTGTGGAACAAAGTCGACCTAAACATCAAATATATTACCTAACGGTGATAGGCAGTGTTTCACGTTGTGTAATCAGTATCGTAAATGTTCACATCGTTCGTGACTGGATTGCGAATAATGTTAGTCTGCTAGCCAACGGCAACCGCGTATAAATATCCTGCTGGACTGAGTCGACATCGGTTTTATTACACCTACGTTATCTCCATTTTCAATGCATTCCGATATTTGAGGCTGTGTGTTGGTCGCAGTGATCAACGGCACTATTGTGGCAACATTGCCGTTGCCCTGACCCTGACTTAAACGGCGTGTTTTTGTTCAAGGCTACTCTGAAGTCTGGTCGATCAATCGTAAAAACAACGTCAACGTCGTTAAGATGTGGATTATACGCAAATTTCTTGGATGTATTCTGTTGCTGGGAGGATTCGGTAAGGTTGATGTGTTTTTTTATCCTTGATTTCCACTTTTATTCGTTGCCAAACCCCATTGTCACATAAAACGGGACTGACAGACGAAATTGTCAAACCATAAGTTGAATGGGGTCAAAAGGTCGAAGTAAAGGTGACTCGAGCGATTCTCCGTCTGGATTTTAAAGTCGAATTTTGCTGATAAACGCAAAACGTCCCTGCTCTGAATCAACTTTATTCTACCCGTTTTATTTTATTTCTGTGTTAACGCAATGGTAGATGTTGCTTGTGGTTGTATGGTAAATGGGGGGAATTCTGGTCACCGAAAGATTCAGACTGTCAAACGCCTTTATATTTAAATGAGAACAAGCGGCACACATTGGAAATGCACAATGGCCCTGTCTAGACGGTGGCGTTAATACTAGTATTTAGAATTATCGGAAGCGTTGTCATCGAACTACGCCGAGTATGGGGTTTAAAACAAAACTAACAATCTGATTAAATTAAATTATTGGAGATAAATAATTCTAGGAAGTATTATGGTAATAAAAAATTGTTTCTGTACTACACTTAGAAGAGTAGATTGCCACGTATCTGAGTTTAGTAGAAGTTTGACATTATTTTATTTTTTGAACTATATGTCCATCTGTTGTTCTGTGAGAAATGTACATGTTCTGCAAACTCAGTTTCCGGTTTTTTTTCATATGTTCCCGTCTAATATACTTTGTTTATTTAGTATTTTGTTATGCATGTACTATTAAATAATTTGACATCTGTTTATTTATTGATTTTATTTGTGCTTAACTATGTTGTGTCTACAGTGGTTTTGGTTTTGGGTCTGCATTATTATAAATCCTACATTTATTAAATATTTTCTAACATTTTCAAATACTAAGTACACGAATGCGACACTGCACATCTATGCTCAATTTTCGTAAATATATAAAATTTAAAATGGTGTATGGTTTTTATGAGTACTGATGCACAAGAACCACAGTTTAAACAGTTAGCATGTTAGTTATAATTAGGAATTTAAAATGATTGTTGAATTCGTAAAAAATCTTGTCTGGTTTTTTACTGTCTATTTAAGGTATCTATTTCAAAATGATATAACTAGGCCAACCATGAATGTTGTTTCATCTTGTCTTGATAAGTGTTGGCTTTGGGGGCCACTGTTGTGCCAACTTACTGCTTGATCTGACCTTTTATACCAACCAACTGTTACCTGTATGATTTGGAAAAATCATTATTTTACAAAAAATATTTCTGGAAAATAAATGTCAAAAAAGTTGGTACATGTTTAATTAAATCTGGTTTGGGATTATTAATGCAGGATGTATTATCAGTTTCATTGGACTACAGGTAAATTTTTGTTCATACAATCTGTTCATGTCCCTTACCCCCCAATACTGTTGGTTCATGTCTCTTGCCTCCCCCATTAGAATCAGTTCCTGTCTATTGGTGCCATACAGCATGTTCTTGTCCTTTGCCCCTTCCATACCATCAAATCAGTTTCTGTCCCTTACCCCCAATACAATTGGTTTCTGTCCCTTGCCCCAAATAAAATCCGTTTCAGTCCCTTGTCAGTATGTTCTTGTCTTTTGTCTCGTATGCAATCAAATCCGTTTCTGTCCATTACCCCCAATACAACCAGCTCCTGTCCCTTGTTAAAAGACGAACAGACAACTATAATATAATAATTCCCATTATAAATATAATTTTTATTTTTTATGTTAAGCATCCAACTTTCTTCAGTAGAGGGTAATAAATTAATCACTTATAAGGAGTGTATGAAATCTAGATGTGAATAATGTCAACAAAATAAGCTGGTACCATTAACATGTGCATCACCACAATAAATTACTGCTTCAAGTCGTACAGTAAAAATTGTTCCACAGATCTGGGCTGCTAAATACCGATTTGCATTAATTTGCATATCAGGTGTAATATATTTGCATAGTGGCTATGATATGTTTGCTTAGTCTCTATTGTATACTTTCATATGACTATATTACAACTTTTAGTATGATATATAATTAGCATATCACATAATTTTGTTAATAATTATTTAATGCTACATTTTAATGAGGAAATAAATGGTTGCAGACGCAGATATACATGTATCTGAAAAAAAAATATCAATAACTCATGCTGTATTTTTTGCCATTAGTTCATTCCTTATATGTATGAGAATGAACAGGAACTGGTAAGAAGCTTACCAATGACAGTATTGAGCTACATCTGATTCTAGATGATAGATTTTTTTCTCCTTGACCCTGTGTTTGTTTGCCATTCATGTATTCAATGTTATAGCAGCTGCGATTTTGTGATTTCATTTTTACGTTAACTATGACAAGACTGGTGAAAGCACCTCCTACTAGTCAATAAATCTTGTTTGACCTGTCCTTTTAAATGGTGAGTCAGACTGTGATTATCAAACAGTAATGGCTGACTCAGTGCGTGTTTTAGATTCACTTTCTCCCATGCTGATTCTCTTTCTAATACTACTTCCTTTATTGATGTAGATCTCTATGTACGATACATTTTTATCATATTTGTGGAGTAATATTTTTTACTTGCAATCAATGGCATCATTTGAAGTAAAATCTCAAAATGGCTACCATAAAACGTACCAACCGTAACACTTGGACTTCGACGTTTCTCATGGTTGCAGTTTTATGTTATCTCTTAACATTTTCATTATCAAAGATATTTGCATGCATTATTCAAAGTTGTGCATATTGAAATTGCATTATTCTAACTTATATACACTGTAACCTGAGCCATGGTTAATTTATCTCACCCATTCAAATTCTGTTATCAATTATGTAATTGTGGTCAACCAATCAAAACTTTGAGATTTGTAGTAGCAATTAATATGCACTTTGAGAAATATCAGTTCTCATAATATCACATTTATTTCTCTGGTATTAGCCTTGAATATCCTCATATATATAAAACCGTGTGATGTTCGTTATTGAAACATCACATTCTCATTCGTCTCTTGGTACCACATGCAGCGGTGATATCATACAACTGGCCAGTACCTGAAACGAAAGCACAAGCATACAAAAACAAGATTGTGCTTGACTCAGCCCTATTCAATTTTTCCCCACATGTGTAGGGATTGTTTAAACAACAAACCCTCCATAATTTATTCACATTAAGAAATGCATGGTATTTTCATCTAGAAAGCTACTTAATATGTTTTCACATGTTGTTTGCTCCTACCACACTGTTGATTTTCTCCATCTCGTGCTACATGTATATATTAAATTTTTCAACATTTTGTGATATTACTAGTAGTTTAGCGATTAGCGGCTTCAGTGGTAAGTGGCTTTCGTAAAGTGTAGGGCTTTGTCATAGCAACTGGTGCATTCATTGGAGTTGAGAATTAGTGTTTTGTGTGTCATGAACAACTGGTGTTAATATACCAGTAGGAATACCATCCTTAGGAGCTGTTAAATTGTTCTTTATGCATGATGTATGCAGTTTATCTGGCAGGAGTTCCTAAATAAGACCTGTGCTATTTATTCTAAATACATGTATACAATGTATGTTACCCGGTAATACTAATATGAATAGAAATGCCACTTATACATTGCATGGTTAACTGCAAAACAACAACAGCAATGGGATATACAGTAGTGTGTAATCCAATCTGAGAAAACTGCATCCATATTTCAATTGGTGGGTTGAAAAGTGAAAATGAAATGGATGACAAATATATAAAGATAGTTTATAATTGTTAATGTTTTGTTTTTAAATGACAAAACATGGCATACTCAGAGGTTAATTGCAGTAAGGATGTTGCCGTAGTGTAATGCATAATTTGATTAAAAGTAGACTTACTGAAATGTGAGTTTATAACTTATGGAATGATCAGCATTTAAATATTAATACATTAACATGCATACAAAGTATATAAGATATGTAATTATATGCATAAATGTTATACACTAAATGAGGAATGTAGAGAGATTGTGGTTGGCGTCTTTCGTGTTCAGTGTTATTCACGAAAATATTTGTTCACAATTTTATAAACTAGCTTGGAAATTCCTACCACCAATTAGATATAGTTTCACTGTATTTTGACTAATTGTTAATATGTGCACTTTGATTGCATATTTTAATACATATACATTCCAAATATTTACCATATAACATGGACAAAAGAAAGCATTATTTTCCATGGCATAGCATTTTACTCTATCTATGTACCTTCATGTGGTAATCCTAATAAATGAGTTTTAAAGTTCACAACAGGCAGGGGTCCATGGGAGCTGTAGGATTTTTAAAAACAAATATTGTATTTACTGACATTTATTTTATATTTACATTTTCATGTATACCATGGTGTTCATAGTATTAATTTTTTTACTTATTCACAGTGTAGTGTGCTTGGCAGTATTCTTATGACCAAATTGGTATATTATTTTATCTCTCTAGTTTATCGTATCCAGGACTTCTGTGTTCTCCAGCATAAATATCAGATTGTTCGGAAGCTAACAACGAACTTGAAACAAAAGAAACCGTCCGACAAAAATGACCTGTTTCCTTGGAAATCAGGGAAGCGTTTCTAAGTGAAAAGTGTTGAGGTCAAAAATGACTGATTTTCACCCAATTGTCTATGTTTTTTTGGTTATGTCATTAATTCAGCCCAGCGGTTAGATTCATTTATTAGAGGTGCCCTTTGAACAAAGATTTGGGACATGAATCATGAAATAAACATGGCGACAAATGTCAAAACATTGTTATGCTAATTACGTTGGCCATTTGCAAAACATGTAGTTTTTGAATTTCCAAAAGATTACCAGGAAGATTCCAGGGATGACAGTTATGACCACCAAAATGTAATGGAAAGCAAACAAGTGAAGCATAAAAAAATGTTTAAAATCGTAGCATAAAGCTACGGGACTTAACCATTGTTTACCCTTGAAGGGAACTGAAATTATTCGATTTGGAGGGTGTCGTAATAAGCAGGGATGAAAACCGTATTTATGCTATGAAAAAGAAAAGAC